ATTCAATATCGGAGTAGGGATCATTACAATGGACGGTTCGGTGTCCAATCACTCATTCGAGGTCCGAAATTGTGGTACACTGTGATCCCCCTCATTTGCTGTCAGTTTACTTGCCCCTAAAAAACCCCCAAAATTGGTCTCTCCGGCTTAAATAGCCTCACGGCGCTCGAAACAATTGGGTTTTGATGTTTAAGAACCTCTTTGGAGTTACTGTTACAGCTAATTGGGAATATTTAGTCGCGTTTTTGATATAAGACAAGTCTTTTCTTGTCTGTAGTTCAAGGGTAACACGAAACCCAGATTTTGTACACAAGGTTGAATTTATAGGTAAAACCCCAGTACAAATCCATTGGAAGTGGTCCGAAGTCGATCCGTCCAGTGGTTGTAAAAATATGGCCCCAAAGTTGTTTTGACTCTGATTATTTCCACCCATTTTGATGAAAATTTTTTTGTGTGTCTTAGCCCATTGCGTATCTTTTCAGAAATGTTCACCAAGATTTTGACCCCTCCGTGGGAACCTTCCTTTTATGGTAATTTTCAGCCACAATTCCCTTATCCGCCAAACATTCCCAGGCCGACCTTGTGTTCGGGACTTTTGCTTCGTGTTACCCTTGCTGTAGTTTGTTTGGGCAGTCTCCCGTCGTGGCACCGGCCCAAATTGGGAATGGCTTCCCAAAGAGGATGGACAGAAGACTGGCCACTCCGGAGCGCCCATATGTCTGGTTCGTTCAACTTCCTGGCATCTTTGTTGGACCAGTACTAGTGCTGTCTGGCATCGCTGGTACTGTGTCGCTGTCGGTGCGTGCTTATGTCATGGCCACCTGAGCTCCGAGCGACGATGTGATGCGCACCTGTCGATGGCGCGCCGTAACCCGTTTATCAAGACCTATCAAGACGCGTCTACCGCGTCAGCTCACGGACTAATACAGAGATTCAGCTTTCAGATTTTCAAAGCAGCTGCAACTGTTCATTATCCGATGTGATGCTCCTATTTCCTAGGTACTATATCATCAGTGAAAGTGGTCGAGCTGTGGAGCTGGAAGCAGCAGAACACAAGAATAGCCCGGTATGTCTGCGATCGCCACCAAATCGATGCCCTACGGTGCGCCTCTCCTTTTTTCGACATGTTGGCGAAGCTGATATACTTGTAGTGCGCCTGGGCAAGTCGGGCCTGAAAGTGTCCAAGATCATCCTCGGGTGCATGTCCTGTGGTGCGCCCTTCTTTCCATCCACGATGGACTGGCATGTGCTGACTTGAATTTGGGTCACAGGACTGCCCGGAGGCCCAACTCCCTGGAGTCTCGGCGAGGAGGAGGGTATCGCGCACATCAAAGCCGCTTATGACGCGGGTATCAACACGTTCGATACCGCTAACGTCTACTCTAACGGACTGTCGGAGGTCATCCTGGGCAAGGCTATCAAGAAGCACAACCTCAATCGGGAGACGATGCGCGCGCTGCACGATGTCGTGCAGGCGGGGCACGCGCGCTACCTTGGCATGAGCAGCTGCTACGCGTGGCAGTGTACGTTCTTCCCTCTCCCCCTACTCTTACGATATTCATTGATGGTTGGGTACAGTCCACATGATGCAGAACTACGCGATTACGAACGGGCTCACGCCGTTCATCTCGATGCAAAACCACTACTGCACGCTCTACCGCGAGGAGGAGGTCCGTTCCCCTTTCCTCTTCCTCCCATTCCTTCATCAGCTAATACAAATACGATCGCAGAGAGAGATGTTGCCGACGCTTAAGCACTTCGGCGTGGGCTCGATCCCATAGTCGCCGCTCGCGCGCGGCATCCTCACGCGCCCGCTCGCCCAGGCGTCAACCTCGAAGCGGCAGGACACGGACCCCATTCTGGGGATGTACCTCAAGAACCCCAAAAGACAGAAAGATCGTCGGCCGGCTGGAGGAGGTGGCGGCGCGCATCGGCGCGAGCATGGCACAGACCGCGCTCGCGTGGCTGATGGCCAAGGACGGGGTGACGGCGCCGATTGTGGGGACGACGTCGCTGGCGAACCTGCAGAACCTGCTTGGTGCGTGCTCTGATACGCCTTGGGCTCAGTTTGGCTAATTCGGCGCTGTGGTGGGTGCAGGTGCGGTGAATATTACGCTCAAAGAGGAAGATATCAAGTATTTGGACGAGCTGTATGAGCCTAGGGCGAGTTTGATGGGGAAGTAGGCGTGAAGGCCTGTCTATCTCTGATCCCTGCGACTGAGCGTGGCTGATAACATTCCCTTCCATGGTTCAGGTTGACTGCATATGTCTTCCTGGCAGAGCGAATGGTACTGAGGAAAACGATGTCTGGCCTTAAGAGCGATGTTGATCTTTCAGATTATCTGATTTTGTACAGTCTACTGTCGAATGCATGACTTCCAGTGACCGCAGAGCTCTGTGCTTACAGCTCTATGGAACTCACTTGCGCCTTGCTGCTTTGGTGCAAATTCAAAACTGGAGCCAAACTCCGGCATGACCAGTGTGCCTGTGACGAGGTTGCTTCACTGAGATCTCCTCCTGACTTGTCAAAATTGGTGGCGCTCTGAGACGCTGTGGTCAGCATATTTCATCAGGGCCTTCCATTCCATCTAAGAAGCACTGCCAATGATGCGCCGGGACGCGTGTGTGCCTTTCAAAGTACGTTCATAATTGCGGACCCGTATTCGGTTCAAGTAACTGATCACAAACTGATAATGCTCATTCTTCAGGATGAGATTTGCGCTTCCGTTCGACAAAAAATTTATTTGATGGCAGTATTTTCTTTCTTTCTGGGTGGCAGTTATAATTTCTCAACCTCGCGGCCCTGTTCGTACAAGGAGAATGAGAAATCCTGTTATCAACATCTTCCACAGGCTGTGGTGTGTTGTGAGCCTCTCGTCCATTCTTCGCGACCCTGAGCCCGTCATTCACTGACGAGTTAACAGATCCGATGGAACTTTTACTGAACTGCTATCAGGAGCTAGATACCGGACAGCAGAAGATTATGGATAACGAGTGTCGGGAATGCGGGTACTTACACCCTAAGAAATGCAATCTGGCATCACCACGGGACCGACGAAAAATCTCCGCCACACTTGTTTCTTCCGAGTCTGGCTCTTTGCTGGGTCCCCGGATTGGATGACTCGCCGGCTGGTGGCGCAGATTAGTCGTGACGTTTGACGCGACGTTGCTTTCGTTGACATCTCTTTAACAGCCATGATGCGTCGATGCCACAATAATTCAGGGACTGAGAGGGCTGAGGAGCTAATACTCCCGAGCGTCCAAACTTGCAAGATAGAGAGAGATTGATCAAAGATTCAAACGAAAGATTCCCAGCTAAGTTCAGATCGATACATGCGATTTGCTACAGTAAAGCGTTGCTCGCGATTTTTGTTTACTGTTGGAGCTAATTGCCCTACAACGCTGCCCCTGTGCTCATTGTCATATCAGAACTACCCAAAGGCTTGACACCCCGGAGCCCCAGCGGGAAGAAGGGCATCGCGCACATCAAAGCGCCTATCAGATCAACAGGAAATCTGCCCCAGCGCTGATTGTGTATTGTCTTTTCTGCCCTTGTCGTGCCGGATTGAAACGCTCGCCGATTTGCGGTGCAGAATTGGTCGTGGCATCTGACCTTACTCTCATTGACATCTCTTTTGCAGCCATGACACGTGAGTGCATGCCCCGCCCATCCTAACCATGATACTGACCAATGTTACGCAATCCAAATCAGATTACCTGTGCGATTACAATGTGCTACGATCCAGTAGGGACGATCTCGGAGTCCACGAAGCGGTCGTCGCTATTTCTTGTCCTTCGGCACTAGGAATCCTGCGACTGGCAAAGCACTGGCACTTTTACCTGGATACATCGGCACAACCGGAGTGCCGTGGTTCGATGCCTTATAAATGGCTCATTCCTGCGCAATTATGATTCGTCGACCACCCTCATATAATCAACCACTCGCATACACCACTCACTATTGCCTCGACGATGTCTTTGCGAATGGAATTCAAACCAAGCCACTGTCGGACAGACGAGCAACCCCATATTACGGAATTGTGCAAGGCGGTCCAGAAAGATTACCATAGCTTACTAGGCGACTCGACCCAGGCAACCGTATATTCGTAGGGCCTCTCCCGCACGCTACCCTGTGGCATCGTTGATTTATAGATTTTTAGGCACCATCATAAATGGTGGCATGAGAACCACGATCACGATAAAAACTTGCATATAACAGTCAGATACAATCGTCGGAAAGGGGGCCACCGAGTCCATATCTATCCAGATGGAAGTGCGGACGTCTCGCCTCATAAGCGCCACAAGTCCGCGTTGGACGAAGAGTATTCGGATGGATCTGTGGTGATTTCAGATGAAGAGGACGAGGAGGACGAGGAGAGCCTGGAGCCAGCGGGAAAATAGGTGCGTTTTTCTGTCCTCTAAACTGGGCACTAGGATTGTATCTGATGCCCTGCACTAGTGTCCTGCCATACTATTGGGATAGCTGGAGCTATGTAAGATCGTCGGATTCGCTGGTTATGTTGTTGGAATTGGTATCGCAGGTCAATCGCAGGCTGTACTTATTTCAATATCACATACATAAGGATCCATGAAAACGGCTGCAAGAACCACCTCAGAATTAGAGTACAACTAAATCGAAATCGAATCTGATAATGATGACTGGCTGTTAACTGTTGATTAGGGAAATAGCGAGTTAGGAGGGCCAATATCACATAGCATACAAGCGACAACACACAAATAGAGATGAAGGAAGATTTTGAAAAAATGAACATGGCATATTCTCCGCCGCGTCTACGGTTAATATTCTGGTACAATGCGCATGGTCATAATGCATATACGCCAATAATTCATAGCTGGGGGCCAAAACCGACTCGGTAGGCGGCAAACTCTGGATGAAATTTAATACCCCATAATGCATAAGGATTGGGCAAAATGTTGGCGGGTTTTTATGACTCACGCATTTGTCCCCTACCTAGCGGGGCAAAACATTTCAAAAGATCTTCCCGATCGGGGAATCGAACCCCGAGCTGCCGCGGACTGGTTGACGCCATGAGAGGCGGCAATGTTAACCATTACACCAACCGGGATATGTTAGCAAGTTCTTGGAAAACTTATCATTTGTGTGGCCCTATGGCTCTGGCCCCTGCTATACGTATTCGCACTCTGTTTGTCATCTGCCTCTGCCTCCTCCCTCATTTAAATAGTTACATTGACGTTGAGTTACGCACATGGACCGTGATGAACTTCAAATCAGTGTTTTCGTTGGGTTGACTTAAAGCATGTCCAGACGCCTTATACAAGCTTTACATGTTTTACAGGTTTGAACGTACTGAGGCTGACTTGATAAAAAATGGAATGCACTATAAATTTGACATCCCCCGAAAATATGTCAAAGCTCCCTTCGTCGCTCAATGTGGCGCCCAATATCTGCGGACTGCTGTCTTGCTTTTTTTTTCTCGGCCTGGGTTTGGTGGGCGCAGTCGCCAAACTTCCATAATAGACTTTGCAACACTTGGGACGCAAGGGCCGCTTATTCCACCGTCAAGCTTGCAATTGTATGATGCGGATTTGAACCCTCAGCAAGATTCCCAGCATGCATGCTGCATGGCGTGTGTTTTCACCTCCCTCTCCGGATCCACATGCACATAAGATAGCCAAAGCCCATGCTTAACCGAGGAATACTGATTCCCATAGACAAGAGTAACCAAAAATGTCTATCGCATGCTTGCGCAGCGCGTGCAAATAATAAATCTATTGCGAAAGACGAAGAGGTCTTGAAACGATAAGGTTCGAAGTTCGAATGATCCAGCAAGGAGCGGTTAGGATGAGTGGCCGAATATCACATGTGCGATTGGCGGTCCGGCCTCTGTCGCGACATCAAATGGACGCGTCAATTGCTGCTATTGCACCCTGACTCTCACTTTCACAACCGCATAACGCGCATTCATGGAATGACACGAGACCTCTCACAAACTGGGGAACACCCGCAAACACCGATTGCTAGAGGATCATCTCCAGAACCAAAGCAGGGACACGAAGATAAGCTAGATTCCTGGGAGTTATATTTGGGAGGCGACCGTGAAGATCGCGGCTCGGAAACGACTCAGAAGTAAGCAAATCGCTCTATTGTATATACTTATAGCTAACTAGGCTACCCAGGCGCGCTCGGTCTGTCAATTATGTCAATTTATACAATTGATACTTATACCGAATTCAGCAGATCGTCTTCTCCGTCGCAGGCCAGCTCTCTAAATCTGAATACCGCACAGCATGGCGGAGCTGCACTGGTACACCCTCTATCCCAGTATCACGAAAAGAGTATGGAAAATGTGCGGATTTTCACTTCTCTTGGGTCTTGGAGAGGGTGAATCGACTATCTCGACAGGTCATGGTTTGCCTGTTCGTGGCATGTGGAGTCGTTGCACTGTTCTCATACCTACGGCTTAACATCGGCTGGACAGTTGGGGCAATAGGAGTTTCAAGCTTCTCGATTAGGCGAGAAAATTCACTTCCCCTGCTACCCCCAAGCGCTCACGTCACAATAACTCCCTGTGTAGGCGTCGGAACGACAGTCTCAAAGATGATTTCCTGGCACAGTGGGTCAAAGGAAATGTCGTTATTATACACCACAACTCATCTCATATTTAGCATGAGTCGAAAACGATTGGAAGTCCTTGTACGCGTCCATTCCCTTGTCGCGCATGCATTCTAAATCCAGCGCCCAGCAATACCCCGAAAGTGCTGGGGAGAGCGCAGAATGGCTCAACTCGATCCTAAAGCGCATCTGGCCAATTCTGAACCCGGACCTCTTCTCTTCCCTCGTCGATCTACTCGAGGACACAATGAAGAAGCAATCGCCTGGATTAATACGCACAGTCAGGATAGAGGACCATGTGTTAGGCAGTAATCCCATGCGTATCCATTCGGTGCATGTGCTCCCTGATTCGGTAGAAATTGGAGGCGCAGGACTGGCAGAGGAAGGGAATTTCATTGTAGGTCTCGCCATCGACACGCCCGCATCGATACAGTCGCTGACGTCGACCAGTCTCTCGAGGTAGAATTCTCATACCGCAGGCTGCCACCACCGACGGCAAAAGGCTCTAACGCTCATTTCATAGCCTACTTCGGCACAGGCCCAAAATTTGCGTCCTTCGAGATTCCGGTAATCGTAGAAATCAGAGGAGCACACGGCCATCTTCGCCTTCGGGTGCAGCTCATCAGCGACCCACCGTTCGTTCGACACACCTTCGTCTGCTTTCCTTACACACCTGAGCTGCATGTCGTGGCAAACCCATTGAAATCGGCGATTGGTGCGCTTTTCTGTTTGTCTTCCTATGAGCTCGGAATTGAGCTGGCAAACGAGCAGATCTCATGAACCTCCCCATACTGAGTCAGTTTGTGGAAAAGTCCATCAAAGGTGTTCTGGCGACATTTACCTCTCCTGCGTGGTACTCCATTGACTGCTCGCGGCTGCTAGTGGTTAGCACTTTCAGCTTGAGTGCAAATATCATAATACTTATACTTATATATAGGGAAGTGATGTGGAAGTCTCCCCGCGGTCTGCAGGCGTCGTATGCGTTGTCATACACAGTGTTATGGATTTGTCGTTACCTCGCGCCGCATATGTATCTGTCGGCCTAGCACGCTTCGGAAAGGTGCGAGCTTCCTGTGATCGGAACTTGCATTCAATGACAGCTAAAATTCATGAATTCGCCAGCCTCTGTAAGTGTTGAAGATTTGCTTCTGGAAAATTTCTCATGTGCCACAGGTTTCTGACTCGCATCATCACGGACCACGGCGGCAATCCTCATTTCGAGGAGCTGTGTTTTATCCGGGTTACTCCTGACGACGTAGAAGAAAATGATCATGTACGCATGACTGTCTGGGATTCCGATGATACAGACGCAGACGAGTACGAAATTCCGTATTTCTCTATGATTTGCCCTGACTCAACTTTCTTTCGCAGTCTTGTCGGTAGAGTAGACGTATCCCTTGCGGGCCTGTTCAAGTCACCCAACGTGCTTCAACATCGTGAGCAGCCTCTGGCAAAAGTGCACCGGCGTCCTCTACCCCAAGGGAAGCTGTCAGCTTCTATCGGATTCTTCTCGCTAGCTGCTCGTGACCTGGAGAAAGCCATGAAGACATCGAACTCAGAACACTTGCCACCATTCCTGCGGAGTCACCCAAGTCAAGCTAACAGCCGTTCGGGGCTATATTCGGAGCGCATCAAAAGTACTCTAGAATCGCTAGCGCCGCCTGATCCAGAGCTTTCCTCTGGAATCCTGTCCATCCAAATTCACCAGTTAGAGAAGCTTGAGATACCACACGTCCGTGGGGCCATTAACAAGGGCTCTCAGAAAGTGGACCATCTGCCGCCATCGACAGATTGCCAATTGGTCGGCCTTTCCTCCCTCTCATTATGTTATTCATGTTAACAGTAGTGCACTACCAGTTCATTAACGACGCGAAAGTGTTGCAAACGCGTATCAAGAAGTTCTCGGCCAATCCATACATCAATGCGTGTAGGCACTCCGTCCAAATATCTCCTAACCTATGTTTGACAACTATCCATAGCTCTTGAGGTCTTTTGCAAAGACTGGACCGCCACAGATATCAGAGTAGTAGTGAACCATCACCAAGATGGAGGTATGCTTTCCGAGTATATGACCACTTATCCCGTTATCTAAACAATTCATAGGGGATAGCATTCTCGGCATGTTGTCTGCTTCGCTTTCGCACCTGCTCCAGAATCGGACGCAGAAGACCATGTGGCACTCTCTGGTTGAAGGCACTGGTAAGTCGTCCATCTCTGATTTTGCCCTGACTCACATATTATGTATCAGGGTACGGGCGATTGCGGATGTCTGTTTTGTTCAAATCTGTCGCTATCTCAATACCTCCGCCCTTAAAAGGATGGGATATTGGTGTACTTGCCATCCGCTGCATTCGGGCTCATATGGTGCCACGGATAACCCCCGGGCAGATTGAAGTCACTGTCAACTCTGTTTCCCTTCGAACTTCGGACAGCCCTGTCATAGATGAATCAACCTCTGATTGCCTGTGGACTTGCGACCCAATACTGGAATTTCCAGTGACGCATCGGCACCAGATCTCTGTTATTTTCCAAGTCAAGGTAGACGGCATTATTCTAGGCGAATCTGTCACTTGGCTGTCATCGATACCTGATCAAGAGGCGACGCATATTAAGTTGCCCGTCTTCGACCACGATTTTGCTCGTTTGCGGCAAAATAACTATCATCCAATAACTGGCATTGTATATGTTGATCCCAAGCGCCACCATAAGCGCCACCGGCCCGAGCTTGCGCCAAGCGCATCCGCGTATCAGCCTGCTTCAATTGGCCATTTAGATGTGGAGTTGCGATTTGAACCTGGAATAGCATGGTTGCATCATGACGCACCCCATTCAGAGGGTGTCAACGAAATTGATGAAGGTGCGCTCGAACGTGTACGAAGTGAATTCTTTGGAGGCGTGCCTGATGTTTGCTCTAGCGCTGCGTGGATTTGCGTCCTCCGGAGATCTAAGGCGACCCAAATCCAAAGTCAATTTTGCCCCAGGGACGCCACATGACTCTGGCAGGAGTGCGCATACCTCTCAAACTAATTCACGGCGATCCTCCTGGGGTGATGCGACAAACATGACTTCAGAAGGGCAATTGGACTTGCTGGCTCACAGATCCACCGATGTCAGCGACAGCAACCATCATTTGCCCAAGCTGCCCAAGTGGTACGTGCTTTCGTGTTCGCATCCGTTCTTTAAACTCACACGATTTATTAGGGTCAAGCAAAGCAAGAAGCGCTTGTGAGTCCAACTGTATTTGAATACAAACGCTTCGCTGATACTATACATTCCTAGATCTAGAATCGGGAAAGGCAAATCGGGAAAGGGAAGTGAGGATTTCCACAGCAGCGTCATCGACGGTTTCTCCCCCATCACACCACCTCCGGGAGACGTTTAACTAGAAACTAGATCATATAGAATTACTTTACTATCAACGCGTATAGATCATTGCATGTAACTTTATTCACCCTTCATCACACACCTCCTTGTCTTCGAGCCTGCCGCGATGCTCCCGCTACTTCTCCAGGATATGACGTCGAACCGAATGTCCATCCCTTTATAGATATTCATCTGGCATAGGGATCAGCGTCTCATTATGCGCTGCACACATCGCTGGGTGAGAGTCCCCATGCATGTCATCGTCGTCCACAAGCCGCACATCCACACACTGAATTCAGGACATTGAGATCAGGGCATTACACCAAGCAAAGACAGTCACTCACCATGAACGTATCTTGATGTGTTACAGAGTCATGAGACTGGAATAAGAACACTCCAACGTCGCGTTCTTGCACGGGCTGTGGCACTGCCACTTCCAAGCATAATTGCCCGCTGGATGCAATCGGCTCGTCGGAGACCAGTGTGACCGGAAAATCGGCGAGGGAGCGCGGGACCCGCGTCTGGTTTGTCCACCGTACGCTCACTGCAACAGCTGTGTGTCAGACAGGCGGATATATCGCGCAGTGTAAAAGTTACGAACCGAGGTCTCCGGCGTTCCCGGAGAACGACACGAATGCAGGATCAAATGCCGCAAACTGCGACGGGTTCTTGAACACCTCGCCTAATTCATTGTCAGATACCAAATATGAGGCCATTGCGGAAAACACACCACAGAAGCTGTCTGGACTTGGCTTCCGAGTTACAAATGGGAAATGGATGTTGAAGCCTGCACGCACAACAGCCTGCGCGGCGTTCACTTGCGAAAGCATTGCAGCTGGCAGAATGAAGTAGAGTGGCAAAGGTAAGTACTTCATGGCTGGGTTAGAAAGGGGGGTGGAAAGTCTTGTAGTGAAGCTCGTTGGGCAGATAATATGTATCAACGGCTGATGACTTGATCTCCGTGTCATCGCCACCTCTTGGCTTTTGGCCGTATGTTGATGTGCCGTGCTGTCCGCTTTTCCAGCATTATCGGAGCGGCGGTATATACCTTGGAAGAGTTGATCATAATTCACGACAAAGGGCCTTCGGCAATCAGGGATTGCTGTAGAATGTTTCTTCATCACTTTTAGTAGTATAGGCAAGTTGTCAGCGGCCGCAGGCGATATATTATAATTTCAGAGTACTTTGGCCCTACTATCATAAAGAGCAGATAGAGAGTCTATACTCGTCTCCTCAATTCAAAACCTGTTCGAAAGAAATTTGGCCTAAGTCGATAGTACCATAATAAGATGGAACTTACCACTCTTCCCATCGGCGTAATATTCGACACCGCACGCGACCCGCAAGCAACGGAACTCGATAGTTCTGTGATGCTCAGAACCACACTCAAATTCTTGGCTCAGCGCTTCGACTTTCTTATCGCTAAGGTCGAGAGTGGCAAGCAATCTGTTGCCCGAGGGCCTATTTCTCCAGCTGATGTTATCGTACGAGGAAGGCGCCGAGGAGACTTCCCATGCTTCGATCTCGCTCAATTCGCCAATGAGTCTCGTAGAAGGTGTTTGGGGCGGGGGTATGAAGGAGAGTTGGCACATTGAAGCACTGCCCTTAGGAATCTGGAATTCCATGAAGCTGTTGTCCTAAACAGCGGGCATTTAGTAAGCTTCCCCGGAGCGGCTATCTCAAAGACTACCACTCACCTCAACAGACACATGCACCGACTTGCTTGCCCCAAACACAGCAGACTTGGCTCCTGCGCTGACTCGCACAATCTGATCTGGTGCCGTATATGCGTATTGGGGGTCTACAGCCACTTCCGACATCGTCTGAGCTTGTTTCGACTTGGAGTGGCCCGTTACCAGCGAGCGCGGGAAGAAGTTCGTCTGAGCAAAGTTGAAGATGCAAAGCACTCCTACAGCAAATATTGCCAGATAGAGGTGGCGAGGTGTGGTAGATGGGCCGCCTTCACGAGAGTATTGCTTCTCGGAGTCGATGACATCTTCATCGCTGGGTGCAAGGGAGGTATACTCAGCGTTTGTTGAACGAGAGGTGAACATGCTGGGTGTGGGGAGGAAGGGTTGAGACATTCGGCTCTTCGCCGTGCGTAACTGTCAAGCTTGAAGATATCGTAGCAGCGGTGATCATGATGCATGGCCGCACAGCACAGCCGTCAATGTCGATCTATACGGAGAGATGTCTTGCGCCGGCCTCTTGGCGGTGGGGAAGAAAGACAGAGTAAGACCCCCGTTTAAGCGCCTAAATCCGGTCAGCTCGGAATCCGGTTTGTAATTTGTTACGGGTAACGTGGTTGTTGAGCACGTTGAGCATTTGGTATCGTGAATTGTTACAAGTTGGTATATACATTGGGTGACTGCAGAAGATCCTTTCCTGAGCGTCCGCAAGGCCTAATATACGCTACGAGTGAATATCAGGATTCTAGCCGCGTCGAGACCGATGGCGACTTCCTGCATACACTCTGGATCGTTCCGTCCGTGATTCGTCAAACGCGCGTCCCCGAGGTTTGCGTCTTCGCCTCCGTCTCCACCCTCGACACAACGCCCACACTCGTGAACATCGGCGTCCTCGCACCATTCAGCGCCTGCAGCACCGACTCCTCCGGGCATTCCTCCAGGCACGCAGCCAGCGTGATATCGCGGAACACCCAGCACGTCATGATCGTCGAAACCGCAAGCACAGGCGGCATGAGCCCCACGCGCAATATGGGCGTCACCGGCGCGAGGGACATGCAGCTTGCAAGTAGGGTGAACCCGATGGTGACGCTGATATTGAAATCAGCATTGGTCGGATGCGGAAGGAAGAGTCTCACAAGTAGAAAAGCTGCCCGCCCCGCAAAAGCTCTCTGCACATCCGCGGAAGCCCATTCCCGCACAAGAACGCGCTCCAGATCACCCCAACATTAGCGTGTTTCGGGGTCGAATTAGAGTTGTCGTATGCTGCGTGCACAGGGGGGTGGATAGCGTACGAACCGATCCTAAAAGATATTGCAATGAAAATGCAAGTGTCATAGACCGCATTCACCCACAGAGAGGCGGTGGCCCACGATTCTGCAGAGGTGATCAAGCACTGCGAAGAGTGGGGCTCGTGCTCCATGTGCGCTCCAAATAGATAGAGTATCGTCGTTCCAATAACAGCCAGCCACCAAAGTCCGAAGCCCAGGGTGATGATCTTGGATCCCTCATAGACTGCGCGTACACGTATCAGGAAGAGAAAGCCATTGCCAGCGGTGCTTGCGACTTTAGCCACGGCCAACGCGATGGAGGGTGTTCGACAATCAGGGAGGGCAGCATCTGTGAATGGTGAGCATCAGTCTCACAAAATCGAGGAGAGGGACGAAGAGGGGACACGAACTCCGAATGACAGTGATCAATACAAATTGGGTGAAGATCCCCAGCCTAACGCGGTACACCGTGTCAAATTTCTCGCTCGGATTCGTAAAAGAATTACTACACACCGTGCAGAAAAGTAAGCGAGCAGTGTAATGCTGGTACCGCACCGCCGCACAAGACGCGCTTCGTCTGCGATGGAGAGCAACCAGTCCCAGACCAACGCCTAGCAGGGAAACATGCGTAATGTCTCTGTCAAAAGAGCAAAGCAAACAGAAGCTAGACGAACGCACCGCGAATGCACAGTATGTTATGTAGTCCACGATCAGAGTCTGACGCAGCACTTCCAGCGGTTCGCTCGATAGCGCGTCCATGGTGCCCAAGTCAGACCAGTTGTGTCGAGCTCATCAGTGGGGCCCAACCGATATATGAAAAGCTGACCCTCGATTCTCCAGCGTTTCCAGTATTAGGGGCTTTATACGCCATACTCGAGGGCTGGTAAAGGCGTGTTGTTTTCCCTGTCGATGGTGTGACCCAGGCCTAAAGCTTGGTCGATCAGTGGTCGATCCAATCACCAGCAGTTCAGCATCAGTATCCGATTCGCCAATGATTGGCTTCAGAGATCTAGATGTTCACGTTGCAATGACTCTCATGGCATGAGGGAAGAGGGGAAGACATGAGGAAGACATTATGTGACTTCCAATAGATGCCGTCTTCTGGCGGTAATTCATGTTAGACTTAGTACAGACAGCAGGATGTATATACTCGAATATATGCTGTGAAGATTTATAGCAAGGCAAAACCCCTGGTAACAAAATGATATGCCCCCAACCCGGATTGAACGAATGACCTTCGCATGTACTGTTGACCTTGAGGTCGTATAATACAAGTGCGACGCGCTACCACTACGCCATAGGGGCCTTGGTGGCGAGGTAGCTAATATATATAATGATCCAATGCGGCTCTGATCAAGAAATTTCCCAAGAGTCAGTATCGAGATTCAATGCAAGAATCGTGGAGGACTTATGCAATTCTTCCCGGCAGAGTTGACACTGCTGCGCTACGAGGAGTGGTGTCCAAAATTCCCTTAGCATTAACAAACGGGAAATATGTGCCAGGATGCGCCCCAGCAAGAGGCCGCATGTGCGGTCAAGCTTCACTGAATGTGACTGGGCAGTAGTCAATCCAGCCGGCAGCTCGACATTGGGCCAAACGGTGCGTTGATGGTCCTAGCGAGGTTAAGATTTCGTTTAGGTTGATCTACTGTGCAGATGCATCGAAAGCAATATGCGTGGCGGCATTCGCATTTCTCAAGTCCTTCAGGCTAGAGACACGTGGGATGGAGAATAGTGTATTTTGCATTTGTTCTCTTCTACAAACGATGATGACACATCCGGCTCAATCCGCCTATGCGTGCCATACGCGAGCGATGAGCTCCGTGAGACCTTTTCAAATAGTGGGTAAGCCAACAGTGGTAGGAGGGAGACAAAGAGAACCGCACCGACGTCATTGGTGTTGAAGGAGTACACGCCAACAAGAACACCCACAGTCAGCGACCTGAGTGTCCAGGTTGCAACGGGGCCCAGAATGGGGAACTTGCGCTTGTGGACATAGTCGACCAAAATAGAGTCAAACTGCAAGAGAGATTGCGTCAGCTCTGAGATTTGTTGTTCAAAAGGAGGACCCACCCCGATGTGACTGTGCATGATCAGACTGACGCCCAAAACACCGTCCAAGATCGGGTAGTTGGTCCCGCTAGTAACGAAAGCAGCAGCGGTGAGGGGCACGAGGCCGGCGGACAGAAGGCGCTCAAAGGCCCAGTGGTAGGACCCGTGCGACTTAGAGGGCGGCGGGAAGGTGGTCGGGTCGTTCACGGTGCCCTTGTAGATGGCTGCAGAAGGTGATCGGTCAAGGTTTTCGAATGCTCTCTTGTCAGAACACGATAAAACTTACGGCCACCAGGAACATAGGACGTGGTAGAGGTCGAAGCAGTTCTCGCTATCCAGCACAAGTGCATCAGCAACGTTCATTCGGTTTCTACCGGGATAACTCGGACTGACCTTGCACGGCAGCGAGGACTGCCGACCGGCCAGAAGCTACTTTGAACGTTCTAGGGAGCGCTGAGCGGAGAAGGAGAGCAGAAGACATCGTCGCCGTCGTTGTTGAAGATGTCTGCGATGGCGGAAGCTTCGAGGGGAGTGAGTGGGCAACCAATCACATGCGTCCGGCGCGTCATCTGCATCTCCCGAATGTCCCCGCGCGCTAGCTAACTCAGTTGCTATTGATTGCTTTCTACATATATTTTATTTCAGATAGGTTCTGATACTGTTTGTTCCGCAAATAAATTACAGTGTAGCCCGCGTTGGCAACGGCACAGTTTTATATTCAATGTTATCTCGTCAGCTTCCACCGATGCACTGTCGATCGAACCTCTTCAGAACCAGGATCTTCGGGAAACATTGGCTATGAAAATTGACTTGGATGTCAGCAAGA